TGTGTGCTACACATCAAAATATTAATGGTAGGGTTGTAATTTTCATCATCTTTACATTTCCCTGTTATAATAATGAGCAGTGGATAAGCTTACAGTAATGAATTTGTACTGCTTTTATTATTAAGGGAAAAAGTAAAGGGGAAAGTTTTCCAGGTTTTAGGAACCCAGATTTTGAGTTTCTGCCTGTCACTTAATACGCTTTCAGCAGGTTCTCTTCTCCCCACCTCCTGAATGAAGGGAATCCCTTAGGTTCTGCCCTTAAAGCTCTATTCTTATCCTGCCCTTGGGTCCTGACAGCTCTTCTCCTTCCCCACTGTCTGCAACATCTTACTGTCTCCCACCATCACCCTAAGTCACCTTTGCACTGTCCACCGACCAGTTACCAGGACTTCAGACCACGACTTCTTAGTGACACATGTGAAATCTCACACATCACCACCTTCTCACATTTGCTTCGGCTTCTCATTTCTTTAATTCTGCTAATGCTGGTATCATTTCTTGCATCAGAATTAATTATCTTTGACTTGATTTTGTTCTCCCTTGCTTCTCATGCCCACATCCTTCAACCCCTCTTACTGGGATCTACCAAACCCCTTGCCTCTATCAAATAAGAAGTCTTAAATTCACATGCAACCAGCTGCACCGTTTAATCCATATATCCTACCACGTCCTCACTTTAATCTTGAAGTTCAGCTTTGATCTGGTCCTCACTTCCCTCCAGCTTTTGCACGGTCTGTAGGATGACATTTACACTCTTTCTCTCTCTCTGCCTTGGCTCTCATTTCTGACTCTGAAATGAAACTTTTCGATCTACCAAGACAGAACTTCTTCTGGCTCCACTCCCTCTCTAAAACTTCTCCATTTATCTCCCCCTACTCCAGAATCCAGCTTTAATCCTTCCTCCTCTGGGAATGATTCACCAACTATCACCTGAGACTCTTCCCTCTATTTTACTATTTTTTCCCTCTATTTTAAATTGTAGCTGGGGAGGGGTGTAGGTTCCTGCAGAACCGTGTGGTTTTCTTATGAGATAAACTTAGTTTCTTACTAGGATGACTTTGCTACTTAAACAACAGTTTATACCTGTAATTCTAGCACAATTACTATTCCCCCCCCCTTTTTTTTTAATTTGAAGAGTAAGTTACATAGTTACCCTACTTCTCCAGCACAAAATACATGACAACAGTTGCCAGTGGGCATATAGGCAAGTGTCTGCTAGTGAACCACACACTGCGAGTTTAGCACTAAAGGGATTCATCTCCGGTAAAAGAATGTCTTTCTACATCTTGTATTGGAAAAGGATTAAGCTGTTGCATTCTTTTAGCACTGTGCGTTCTGCATGACCTTTCAAAGCCGATTTCGTATATTGAATTCGGTTGTCTAGATTGGAGGTGATGAAAGATACCTCTAGTTGGCAGATGGCAAGAGCCCTTATTTCTCATCTGTCGTTCTTTGCCACCCCCTGTCCCTTGCATGAGATGGGATTGTGCATGGCAGGTAATTATGTCAGAGGCTGCCAAGACCACCCCCAGGGTTGGTGGTTTGCTCGGAGGACTCACAGCCAGGATTTATCACAGTAAAAAGACACAAAGGAACATCAGCAAAGGATGCATGGGGTGAATTCTGGGGAAAAGCAGGCACAAACTTCCAAGAATCCTCTCCTGGGGGAGACACACAGGACTTAATCCCCAGGAGCGAGATGTGACAACACGTGTGAAATGTTTACTAAACATTCATAGACTGAGTGCCCATGGTTTCTACTGGGGGCTGGTTGCATAGGCACCCTGTACTCGTCATGTGCCCAAATTCCAGACTCCCAGAAAGAAAGCGGGTGTTCAAATGAACCATGTTGTTTGCACAGATGGTTTC